CTGCTCACTCCAGGAGAGTGGTGGGATTCAAAAAATTTTTACTAACAGTTCTGTGGGCATGGCTTGGTGGGTGTGTGGCTTGGTGGGTGTAGCAGGGGAAGAATACTGTAAAATCTCCATTCCCACCCCACTCCACTAACCTGCTTTCCAGCTCCGTTCTCCTGCGCAGGGCAACCAAAGGAGAGCCAGCCAATCAGCTGGGACTCAGGAGGCAGAGAATAGATGGGGGTGGGGCCAGTCAGAGGTGGTATTGGCCGGTTCTCCAAACTACTCAAAATTTCCGCTACCGGTTCTCCAGAACTGGTCAGAACTGGCTGAATACCACCTCTGCTCCAAGAGTTCTATCCTGAACAGCTCAGGGTTGACTGAGCCTTCCATCCTTCCGAGGTGGGTAAAATGAGGACCCAGTTTGTTGGGGGCCATAAGCTGACTCAGTAAACCGCTTAGAGAGGGCTGTAAAGCACTGTGAAGAGGCATATAAGTCTAAGTGCTATTGTTATTTCTGCCATTGGTCCTGTGAGGAATGATTATTCGATGGTTCCAGATGATGCCACAGTGACCTGAGATTTCCTTAAAGCCTTAAAAGCATCACAAAAATATGAAAGAAGAAAAACAGTTTTGTAGATATCTATTAGTGCTTGTATGGAAAATTCTTGGTTTTATCACAGCCAATTATGGAATTGGATACTGTGTTATCTCCAGTAAAGAAAACTTTACTTTTAGAATGTGTACAACAAAAGGATAACCTAAATTTATTTATTTCGTGTATGGCATATCATACATAAACTGGCGATATATATTAACATTTCATCTAGATTAATAAAACACAATCGAATATAAATGTTAAAAAGATCTATGGTTTAAATACCAACTTAAATACATCCATGGAACAAATAGCCACGTGAGACGTTTTCCCCCTCTAGTGGCATAATGGCAGCACTGCACTCATTTAAGTTTCCCAAATAAGCACAGGTAGTCCTCGACCTACGACCACAATGGAGCCCAACGCGTCTGTTAAGCGAGACATTTGTGAAGTGAGTTTTGTCCCATTTTAAGACTTTTCTTGCCACAGTTGTTCATTGAATCACTGCAATTGATTAGTTAGTAACCCAGTCGTTAAGTGAATCCGGCTTCTCCATGGACTTTGCTTGTCAGATGGTTGCAAATGGGGAGCACGTGACCGTCATAAATATGAGTCAGTTGCCAAGTGGCTGCATTCCGATCACGTGACCATGGGGATGCTGTAAAGGTCGTAAGTGTGAAAAACGGTCATAAGTCACTTCTCTCAGGGCTGTTGTAAGTTTGAATGATCACTAAACAAATGGTTGCAAGTTGAGGATTACCTGTACAGGTAGTCCTTGATTTATAATGGTTCATTTAGTAACCGTTCGAAACTACAAAGGCACTGAGAAAGTGAGTTATGACTGTTTTTCACGCTTATGACCTTTGCCTCAGAGGTGGTATTCAGCGGATTCTGACCGGTTCTGGAGAACCGGTAGCGGAAATTTTGAGTAGTTCGGAGAACCAGCAAATATCACCTCTGACTGGCCCTGCCCCCATCTATTCTCTGCCTCCCATTGAGTCCCAGCTGATTGGCTGGGTCTTCTTTGGTTGCCCTGCATAGGAGAACGGAGCTGGAAAGCAGGTTAGTGGGGTGGGGAGGGAATGGGGATTTTGCAGTATCCTCCTCCTGCCACACCCACCAAGCCACACCACGCCCACCAGGCCACGTCCACAGAACTGTAGTAAAAAATTTTGAATCCCACCACTAAGCATCCCCATGGTTAAATGGTCAAAAATCCAGACCCTTGGCAACTGGCATGTATGGATGATGGTTGCAGTCCTCTGGTGTCATGTGAGCACCTTCATCCAAATTGAAAAACCTTCATCCTCAGTGTCTATGGAGATTCTCAGTCCTCCAGGTCATGGTTGTCAAAATAGTGCTTTTTCAAGAGGCAAATGGACTTTCTGGTTTTCTTTCTTTGAAGATGTTTTGCTTCTCCTCCGAGAAGCTTCCTCAGCTCTGACTGGATCCTTCCATTCTCTACCATCCAGTCAGAACTGAAGAAGCTTCTTGGATGACAAGTGAAACGTCTTCAAAGAAAAAGAAGGAAGTCCAGTTGTCTCTTGAAAAAGCACCTTTGGGACTTCCATCCTCAGTCTTTTTTGCAAAGGGCCCACTGATCTGGCTGAATCAGAAATTCCCTCTATTCATCTCTTGTAAAAGTCCCTTGTCCATCTCTACCTCCCCCTCTTTTATTGGGTATGACCTGTATCAAAAAACAGCATTTTGTCTTCTTTTGATCTCAACGTTTCTCTCGGAGGGCCTTCGCCTTTATCCACAAACATTTTTATAAGCCACTAGCTGGATACCCGTGCTTCATGACGAAACTTTGTGATTGGGCTATGCAGGAGAAATTTGGGTCACAATCCGTTGGCTCAATGGTGGTCGGTGATTGAAACTCATAAGGGAATATCACTCCTGCTTCCTTGAGTCCACAAAACAGTTCCATAGGTGGAAGGTGTAGACATTTTTGGTGAGGTACCAAGATTTATTACTGTAAGGAGCCCCAGGCCGCTCCTGAGTGAAGGAGTGCAATGTCTACAAATTTGAACTGAGGTAATGGAATCTGAGGCAACTGGCAGTTGGAACAGAGTTCTTTTCAGGTGGGGAGGGGGAGTAGAACTCCTTAGCATCAGAGCGTGTTAATTGCTGTATTAAGAAATAGTAATGTTCTGATGGTCATTTTGAAAAATCCTTTCTTATCGAGCACCTAGAAGGCAAGTGGAACATACGTGCCAAATTTCAAGTTTGTAGGCTTTACGGTTTTGGAGATTTCATGATGAGTGAATGGTACTTGGCATCCCATTCTTCTCCTCAGATTGGTTGGTATCGTTGTCTGTCAAAACTGAAAGTATATAGCCCAGCCTTGATTTTGTATATCTGGCTAAAATAAACTGCATACAGGTAGATTCCTCAAATAATAACTTTATTGGAAATATCATATTGGCACAGTTGAAGTCCACACCTCCTCCTTCCCCATCTGGCACTGATGATGTTACCTAATTGGGTAATAAAATGTCTGCAAGACAACGACCAAGCTCAGAGAGCAGCAAGGACCCCTCATTTCAACCCTAATCTACAAATATTCTTCTTTATTGGTTCTTTGGCATCTAAATGTCTTTCCTATCTTCCATCTAGAAGGAACAACTGCCTGTAGTGTTAATTGGATTAAAGTATAGTAAGCCCACAAGAATACATTTTGAATGTTACAAAAATATTTTATTAACATAAATAGATATATAAAATAATAAAATAACAGGAAGAAACCATTCCATGCTGCCAACAAACATCTAAAAGAGGAAAATAGCTGCTCCCTGTGTAAGCTCTTTGTGTCAATAATGAATCAAACTTTGTAGGTAAGGATAGCTCTTAAGTGCCTCACCCAGATTTTAAAAGACCACAAGGCTCAATCTTCCTGAGTCAAAACAGTTAAAAAGAGTCCTTCATAGCATTGAGAAGATATAAATAAAAGGAATAGGAAATTTCATGGTGTCCTATGAAAAATAAGGATTTCCCCTCAAAATGTGCATCCAGCACTTTTGCTATAATTCAGCAATCTTGACTTACATTCATTGTTCCAAAACAGGGAGTTTTTAAGAAGAGATTGGATAATCCTTTGTCTGAAGTGGTATAGGGTTTTCCTGCCTAAGCAGGGGGTTGGACTAGAAGACCTCCAAGGTCCCTTAACTCTGTTATTCTATCCTGTTGAGCAAAAACCCAAGATATCATGAGCTTTCCTAGCCACTAGCCTTCTTTTACAACACATAACTTAATTCTCACCAAACTATCCACACTGATCTGGTTGCCGGACATCTTACAGATAGTTCTCGACTTACAACAGTTCATTTAGTGAACGTCCAAAGTTACAACCAAGTTACAACAATCAAGAGCCATGGTGGCGCAGTGGTTAGAATGCAGTATAGCAGGTTAACCCAGGAGTTTGATTGTCACCAGGCTCAAGGCTGACTCAGCCTTCCATCCTTCCAAGGTGGGTAAAATGAGGACCCAGATTGTTGGGGGGCAAGAGGCTGACTCTGTAAAACCGCTTAGGGAGGGCCGCAAAGTGTTATATAAGTGCTATTGCTACAACGGCACTGAAAAAAAAGACTTATGACCATTTTTTCATACTTGGTCATAGGATCAAAATTTGGAATGATTGGCAACTGACTCATGTTTACGACACTTGCAGTGTCCAGAAGTGTACAGTGTGACCCCCACTTGGCAACCTTCTGAGAAACAAAATCAGTGGGGAAGCCAGATGGACTTAACCACCATGTTACTAACTTAAGAACTGCGGCAATCGACTTCACAACTGGGGCCAGACAAGTCCTAAAATGGGGGAAAACTCATTTAACAAACGTCTTGCTTAGCACCAGAAACGTTGGCCTCAACTGCGGTCGTAAGTTGAGGACTACCTGTGTATGCGTAGTGCAGAAAAATAAATACTCTCAAGTAGGCATGGATAACTTGGCTAATGACCATTTTGAAAAAGGGAGGGAAGGCTCACGTGTGCTTAGAATACGTACTCTTTGGGCCAGGGGTGGGACTCAGCCAGTTTGGGCTGGTTTGGGCGAACCAGATGTTAAATTTACATCTGGTTCGCTGAAACGGTAGTTGAACTGACCAGCTGGCCCCACTCGCCCCACTCCACCCCTCCATATTTTGGATGCGGGTAAGTGTAGGATTCGCACAGAGGCTGTGGGAGAGTGAAAAATGGCCCTTCCGGAAATGCAGAAACGGGCCTGTTTCTGGCTTCCGGAGGGCTTCCAGAGCCCAAGGGAGGCTGTTTTCACCCTCCCAGAGGCCTGAGGGAAGCCTCCGGACTCTGGGGAAGGTGAAAAACAGCCCTCCCGGAAGTTCTGGTAAGCCACGCCCACCCAGCAACCAGGCAGACAGCCGGTTGTTGGGATTTTTGAATCCCACCCCTGCTTTGGTCTCCAAGAATGGTCTCTTCACCCCTGGTTTTGTAGGGTGGTGATGGTGATGGTCTCTTTAATGGTGTGAGGTGTACATCCTGCATAAATAGGGGCTCTCAGATGGAGCCCCGTTTGCTCCCAGCTGTATTAAATATTGAAAAAGTCCTAGTTCTAAGTCCTACTTGGTCCAGATCTGGAGTAAGTGTCCGTCTTCCTCTTGGAGAACAGGAGCTTCCTCAAGAAAGGAGAAAAACTATAAAAAGCAGGAGACTCGTTGACATAATAGTGTGATGGGCCAAGGTGAAGTGGCTGGCTTGGCTCCTTGGAGATGGTTTTAGCTGTCCATCAATGATCAAGCGGTTGCACTGATCACCAGTACAACAGTGGGTTTCTACGCTGCCTAGGTTCTTGTAGATGGAGGTGTACGGACTGTCGCACCAGGAAGGGGATGCACAACCTTTGACCACTGAATAGTTCCCAGAGATGCCTGAATGAGGGAGAAAGCGAGAGAGAAACTGAGTCTTCCATTCCCACTTGAATCATACCATGGAAGGATGCAGTCTTACAAAACAATGTAGTAAGCAGAAGGTATCTGAATGGTATATACCAAAGGTCTTCAAACTTGGCAAGTTTAAGACTTGTGGACTTCAACTCCCAGAATTCCTGAGCTAATATGACTGGAAGAAGAATTCTGGGAGTTGAAGTCCACAAGTCTTAAGGCTGTCAAGTTTGAAGACCCTTGGTATGTTCAGTTGATTTTCTCTTAAGCTCTCGAGGGCAGATGTTACATTATGCCATGCCCCCAGTTCTGCTGACCACAAGGAGGCAGACACTACAGAACCAGTTTCATCCAGCATGGGACTGGTTGAATATAGATATCCAGAAGTTATTCTAGGGCAGCTTTTCTCAACCATGGCAACTTGAAGATGAGTGGACTTCAACTCCCAGAATTCTCCAGCCAGCCAGCCAACTTTAAGATGGATGGACTTCAACTCCCAGAATTCTCCGGACAGCATGTTGAAGTCCACCCAAGTTGAGAAATGCTGTTTTGGTGCTTTTAAACTCTTAAACTGAAGTCATGAATTTTTGCTCTTCAGACGACTGTTCATCTGTAACTCATTCAATGGTTAAAAGAACAGATACATGGAATCTGTCAGAATTGCATATGACTGACAACCATCTCTCTCTGCTCTCAGGACTTAAGGGAAGGTGGACTTCATACACCAGGGTTTCTTAACCTTGGCAAGTGTGGACTTCAACTCCCAGAATTCTGGGGAATTCTGGGAATCGAAGCCCACACATCTTCAACTTGCCAACGTTTAGAAACATTGGCAAATACCACTCTGATAAACTGGCAGATTCAGAAAATTCTCATTGTCCACCAAGACATGGTCCAAAAGGGTCTGGAATGTTGAGAAAGACAAGAGTTTCCACGCAACTCTGAAGCCTGCTTGAAACTCTTAGTCCATTTGAAGTAGATTCACAATTTCTGCAGATTTATTTCCAAATCTTTCTCCTTATGCTCACTCTGCAGATTAACATGTAAGTAAGTAGGAGCAAGTAAGAGGAATCTGCAACAAATGACTCACCGTGGATTCCTGAGGCTTCCAAGCATTTGGTCATGGGCCCTCGGCATTGTACCGTTGTGATATTATTCGGGGCACAACCTTGAGTAGTGTCTCCTTCGCAGCTGTGGCATGTAAGGCCATTCAAGGGCAAGGAAGCCCACTTATAATCTGCAAAGAGAAGCAAACTCTGTGAATCGGTTCCCTTACTGCGTTAAGCAAAGGGTTGTTGTCCATGATAATGGAATATTCATAACTGGTTGGGTATGTACAACACAACATGCCCCAAAGGGCAACTAGACTTCCTTGTTTTTTTTTTCCTTTTCTTTGAAAACATTTTGCTTCTCATCCAAGAAGCTTCTTTGGTTTTAACTGACTGGTTCAAGGGATTTATATTCTTTGCAAATCCTTCCGTCCTCCACCAGTCAGTTAGAACTGAAGAAGCCTCTTGGATAAGAAGTGAAATGTTTTCAAGGGAAAAAAAAAAAAACTTAGAAACTCTGTAATTCTCTCTTTTTTTCCCCTGGGCATCACTTCCAATATGGTACTTGGTGACTTTGCACCCAGGAAGATTTATACAGAAAGGAAAACGAACTAGCAAGATCAGGAAAATCCATAGTATAAAATGGTTTTAAAAACATGGATTGAAAGCATGGATATTCCCATGTATTTGTATCCATGTCTTTGACCTCAGATGTAGCATTACATCACCCTGCAAAGGATGCCATGATGGGTGTCTTCACCGTGGCTTTCATGCCAAGAGGGGGCTAAGCTCAGCCCACAGGAGGTGAATGGGAACTGACTGTGAAGGTCCATGAAGGTGACCATGAAGGTCATCAAACTAACATTTGGGGATGGCTATTATATGGGCTGTTCTTTCTTTTTTCTGCAGGCCTCTTTTTACAGCTCTAAAACAAGGTTGTGTGATGACCTACCTTGCACATCATTGTTACACCAGCTGGAGTTACAACACTTCACCATGTAGAAACTCTTGTGGTTTTGGAAGCCCAGGTTATCCTGGCAGTGGGAAAGCTGGCCACAGCCCTTGATACGTTCTTGATCCTTGGGAAATTCTACCAGAGGGAGGGAAAAGCAATGATGTAAATGTGGTTTTGGCCTCCAGGGGGCACCCTGTTCCATGAGTTGAGATTCCCTAACAGAACAACAGGATAACAGATTTGGGAGGGACCCCCGAAGGTCTTCTAGTCCAACCCCTGGCTCAAGCAGGAGACCCTATACCATTTCACACAAATAGTTGTCTAATCTCTTCTTAAAAACCTCCAGTGATGGAGCAGCAACAACTTCTGAAGGCAAGCTGTTTCACCGGTTGGTTAATTGTTCTCACTGTCAGGAAATTTCTCCTTAGAGTTGCTGGTCCCAAAGGAACTTCTCAAAAGGCAACTGGACTCCCCACCTCCTTTGAAAAGCACTTTGGGACAACCAGGACCTGGACGAATCCCCAGAGACCTCTAGACCAGGATTTCTCCAAATGTACTCTGGAGATCCCCAAGATCCTTTCAGGGGAACCACAGAGTCAAATAAATCATTATTATAACCATTCTCAGGTTTAATTTCTAATGTAGTACATATTAATCGATATAACCCACATAAACCGAAGCTCTTTGGGATCCTTAATCATTCATAAGAATTCAAAGGGATCTTCTGAAGATTCCACATGCTGCCTGGGGAATTCTGGGAACTGAAGTCCATGTGTCTTAAAATGGCGAACATTGAGAAACGCTGCTCTAAACCAGAGGTCTCCTACCTTGGCAACTTTAAGCCTAGCAGACTTCAATTCCCAGAATTCCCCAGCCA